GGAGTTGGCTGAACTCCAGGATTGGCCAGGGGGTCCTGCTGATTGACAGGCATTAGTCAGGAGATCTCGCTGATTGACAGGTGTTTCCTACAGTGCCAGATTGATGTTCCTTTTCCCCCGCGGGCTGCTTTGTCCTAAGTTGCCGCCACCTACCTAACAATCACTACAGACACTTTTGAAATCAAGAGGATGATTACAAACTAATTTGAAAATTTATACTCCAATGTGGGAGGCCGACATAGCATGTGACCAGCGTTTGCTTCCCCTCCTGGTCGGCTGAGGCACTTTCGGTCACCCCGTGATCTGGTTGCTTAAGTAACCAAAGATGTTAGCCCCATCTTGAGGGTGGAGAAAATGCAAATATGTCTTCATGCATGGGCGTGCCTTCCCACATCCCCAGGGACCAAGCTACCCTCACCCGTTCCTTTGTGATATTACCCCCTAGGCCTGTTTGGGATAGAATGTTCCATGGAAATACCCTTTGTGTGTTCTCTTCTCTTGCTCTGCCTTTAGGTGTGACCTTCCTAGATGTCAGTCAAGCTGCTGACAGCAGACATCGTGAAGCTAGACTCAGCCCCTTGAAACCTGACCCCTTGCCTCACTTGAATGGCTTTTCCTCAATAAAAGGGAATCTTAATGATACTCAGAAAAGAGAAATAAGGTGCAGGACCCCCCACCCCCTCCCCACCCATTCAGCACGTGCTTTCTCTCTCTCTCTTTTCTGCGGACCCTTAAGGTCAGAGGAGCCGTCACATCACCACCAAAGAAAAAGGTATCTCTGTCTCTTATGTAGTTATTTCGTGGAGCCCAGTTATTTTAGTTCCCCTGAAGTGATCCCTAAGTGTTTTAGACATATGCAACACAGCAGGTGGCGTCCCTGGGTGGGCAGGTTTGAGTGTTTAAGTTGCTGGGGACGGGACACTTCAATAAACTGGAAAATCTAGGAGCCATTATCAACTTTCTAGACATATACAACCTGTCCAAATTGAACTAAGAATCTACCAAAAACCTAAACAGACCAATCTCAAGTAATGAAATAACAATTAGGGGCTGGGGATGTGGCTCAAGCGGTAACACACTCGCATGGCATGCGCGGGGCGCTGGGTTCGATCCTCAGCACCACATAAAAATAAAATAAAGATGTTCTGTCCACCGAAAACTGAAAAAAAGAAATAGCAATTAAAAAGCTTCACAAAAAGAAAAAGCTAGGACCAGATAGATTCTCAGTTGAGTTCTAATAGACCTTTAAAGAAGAACTAAAACCAGTCTTTCTCAAATTATTCCATGAAATTGAAGGGGAGGGAACAACCCCAATACATTCTATGAAGCCATATGACACTGACACTAAAACCAAAGACACACCGAGGAAAGAAAACTACAGATCAATGTCTCTGATGAACATAAATGCAAAAATTCTTAATAATATAATATAATCACATTAAAAGATAATATACCATAATCAATCAAGTGGGTTTTGTCTCGGGTTACAAGGTTGTTTCAACATACAAAAATCATAAATCAAAAAATGTAATTCACCATATAAATAGAATTAAGGATAAGAATTATATGATCATCTCAATAGATGCAGAAAAGGACTTGGATATTTATTGATAACCCAATCAAAAAATGGGCAAGAGGACTAAACTGACGTTTATCAAAAGAAGAGACACAAATAGTCAACAAATATATAAAAAGGAGATCAACATCTGTAGTAGTCAGGAAAATGCAAATGAAAACTACACTAAGATTTTATTTCATTCCAGTCCGAATGGCAATTATCAAGAATACAAATAATAATAAATGCTGGTGGGGATGTGGAGAAAAAAGTACACTCATACTTTGCAGGTGGGATTTTAAATTAGCTCAACCACTCTGGAAAACAGTAGGGAAATTCCTTACAAAACTAGGGATGGAACCACCACCTGACCCAGCTCTCCCACTCCTTGGTATTTATCCAAAAAAATTTAAATCAGCATACTATAGTGACACAACCACATGGATGTTTATGGCAGCACAATACATAAAAGCCAAATTGTGGAACCAGTCCAGATGCTCATAAACAGATGAATGGATTAAGAAAATGTGGTCCATATACATAATGAAGTTTTACTCAACCATAAAGAAGAATGAAATAATGCCATTTGCCATTAGATGGATGGAAATGGAGACCATTATACTACATGAAATAAGCCAGACTCAGAAATTTCTATCAAGCGTCTAATGTTTTCTCTCATATGTGGAAGCTAGAATAAAATAAGGGAAAAAGGTAGGGGTCAGATATCATAAACACATGGAGAAGATCCGTGGAATAGAAGAAGAAGATTGAGAAGGAGAGAGTAGGTTTGAGAAAGGGGAGGAGATGAGAAATGAATTTAACAAAATCACTCATGTGCATATGTAATTATAGCACAGGGAATTTCACATTTATGTATATGTAGAAAGCACCAATCAAGAAAGAAAGAAAGAAAGAAAGAATGAATAAATGGAAGATCAGTAGAGTAGAGGAAGGAGCTAGGGAGAGGGACAAGGGGAGGGAAAGCAGGGATGGGAAAACAGGGACTGAAATGGAGCATGTATGATTTGGTCAAAATGAACCCAACTACTGTGAATAACTATAATGCTCTAATAAAAATATTTTTTGAAAAAAATAGAATAAAGGAAAATTATTTTGTGAGTAATAAAATCTGCAATGGGCAGCAGGGTGCCAAATGTATTCAGCATTGAGTGATACTCAGAGTTAACAAAAATTGTATTTAATTTCCCTATCAACCACAGGTTGCTATTGCAGAACAGTGAACTATAGCTATGACTGTGGTTTCATTTCATCTTGTTAGCCATTTAAAAATAGACTTTATTTTTTCAATGCAGTTATTTAGGCTCACAGCAATATTGAGCCAAAGGTACAGAGTGTTCCCATATACCTTCTGCCCCCACACTTGCTTAGCCTCTGCCATTTTCAACATCTTCCACCAGTGGTATGTATTTGTCACATCGCTTTTAGTCATTTTTGATGATATTGAATTTTTTTGTTACAGTAGCAAATAAATCTTTATATCGTCATATGAGCCATTTTAGGTTCTCTTGTCTTCTCTTGTTCCCATTTGATACTGCAATGATAATTTCTGGCTCCTTCTGTCACTCTGGACTCAGAAAAGTGTCATGAAGCAGGTTGTGGAATCTGTCTTTCTGTTGGCCACTTAAAGGGTCAGGCAATCCAGAGATGTGAGAGTTAACTTTCCTTGTGATTCACTTTCACAGGAGGAAGCTGGCATATAACTCCCATCCCTTCTCTCCTTCCCTTGCTCTGACCCAAGGCATGGTATTTATGCACGGTCTATCTGAAAATGTCCTCCACTACCAAGAGACAGGTTGCATCCTTTTGTAAAACATGACCAAGTCATTCATGCCCTGACGTGAACTTGCTTTCCATCCGTGGCTTCATTTCTCTTTTCCACCACCCTTATGTTCCTGAATAAAGCAGCAGCACACAAGCTCATCCCCAGGCTCTGTTTTCTGGAACCTAGGCTGAATCAGTTTCTACAAGACCTCAAGCTTCATGAGGGGAAGGATTTTATTCTATTTTGTTCATTGCCTAAAATATTGCCTGGCACCCAGAAGATTCATACTCTCTTTTCCTCCCCCCACCCTCTCTCTCTCTCTCTCTCTCTCTATATATATAAAATCACCAAAAGACAAGAGCATCCAGACAGCATTGCAGGAAGCACAGCAGTCTTCTTATTAGTTGATTTCCATCATCAGAGAGCATCCAGGCTTGCAATACAAAACGAAAACAAAAATACAGATGCATTTCACGATGGGAAAGAGAAGAGCTGCTGGGCAGGAAGTTATGAGAGAAAAGAGAAAGAACACAAAGTAGTCATGAGCATCAGCTAAGGCAGAGCTGTCCTTGAGGTTTCTTTCCTGCCCAGATGCTCACCTGATCTGACCTTCCTACCCTTTTGATTTTGTTAGAAATGCAGAGGAAAGACAAGAAACAAAGATGAAGGCAGGACAGAGGATGCCCACTGTGGGTTCTGTAACTCCCTCAGGCAACATTACCAACATGAAGAACTGTTTGTGGTTGCCCAGTGGATCTCTGAAGTGAGTGAAGAGGCGTCCAGACAGGTCCTCTCAAAGCGGACTTTAGCATCTTCATGTCAAGTGCGCCTGCATCTGCCCCTTCCTCCTCAGAGTCCTGACTGCCCTTTTCTCTCCTCACAGAGCCTTCTATGATGACCCCAAGGGGAGCTACCCAGTAATCCAACAGTACACACTGAGCACATAGCATGTGCCAGTCAGTGTTCAGAACTGGTGTAATAGCAGTGAACAAGCAGACAGAAATCTGAGCTCTAATAGAGCTTAGATTTTAGCAAAAGGAGAGATAGTAAGCAAAAATCATAGACAAAACATGTATGTGAGATAATGATAAAGGCTTTGGGAAAAAATAAAAGTGAAAAAAGAGACAGGGAGAATGGTGGAGGAGTTAATTCTAATTTGAGCAGTTTACCAAGGATGCCACAATAGTGCTCTGCAGACTGGGTGGCTTAAGCAACAGAAATGCATCCTCCCATTGTTCTGAGAGCTAGAAGTCCAACATGAAGGGGTCAGCAGGGTTGATTCCTTCTCCTCTTCAGCTTCTACCCAGCCACCTTCTTTGTGTCTTCATCTGGTCTTTGCTTTGTGCCTGTGTCCTAATCTCTTGTTATTGGATATCAGTCATATTGTGTTAGGGTCTACCATAATGACCTGCTTTAACTTAGTCCCCACTTCTACAATCTTATCTCAAACACAATCACATTCTGAGATCCCCGGGGTTAATACTTACACGAATTTTGGGTGGATAAGGAAACACAATTCAGTTCATGACAGGAATCCAGGGAAATCCTTGCTGGAAAGATGATGCTTGAACAAAGGATTGACAGAGTTGAAAGAGTTGGATATGCAGATATCTGAGGCAAAACACCCCATGCAGAAGGAATAGCAAGTGTGAAGTCTTTACAATGGTCTTGCTTGGTGATTTTGAGGAGCAGCAAGGTGAGTACGGTGGCTGGAGTGAGGAGCAAGATGGTAGAGTAGGACAAGGGGCCAATGAGGAGAAACAAGGTAGGTCTTGAGACCATGGAAGGGACTTTGTTTTTGGTGCTTTCTGTCTCTGAGATGGGGGTCTCAAGTTGCCCAGGCTGGTCTCAAACTCCCGGGCCTGAGTGATCTTCCTACCTCAGTCTCCCTGGTGGCTGGGACTATAGGTATGTTTCTCTGCACCCAGGACTGCCGTCTTTACTCTGGTGTGAGGGCGAGTCCTTAAGAGAGAAGTCACATTGCTGCTGTCCAGCAAGGTCAGGCTCAGATGCAGTGCTCAGCCCAAGTAGAGTCTGTCAGGTGCTTATTGCTGACCACACCCAGGACAAAAGACCAAAGAGATGGAATCATAGCTAGTATGCTTTGAGGGAGAAGACACACATTTCTAGGGCTCTTATTATCATGACTTCTAAACAATGACTCTTGATGCACTTAGAAAATGAGATAGAAAGGGCATTTTTTTTTTTTTTAAAGATACATGTGCTTGGACCAGAGTTGGAGGAAGCTTGAACTGATGCCTTGTTCATCTTTTCCCTACCTTTCTTTTGCTGGGCTGAGGGCAAAGAGGCAGTGGAGGCCTATTTCCCATCATCCTTTGTTGGGACCATTTTGGGAAATCTGCTTCTGACTTGCTATATTTGAAATCACAGTTAGGGTGCTACATTCTTCATACCTTGTATGGATGATGTGTCTCTCATTGCCAGAGAACGATTGTCCAATATATGTGAAGGCAGTTTTCAAATCTGAAAATGATGAACAACCACCAAAGCTATGTTGAGTATTGACACTGCATAATAGCTATGAGAATGTACAACACTTCATTTTTTAAAAGATGGATTTATTTTCAGACCATCCCCAATAATATCGTGGGGCTATACATAAATAAAATTTACCTATGAACCAGAGGCAAGATAGAATGCTGCTAATATACCTGGGTTTGTTGATTGACAAAGCTGGGTTGAGGCCTAGGTTTGCTACTTCCTGGCTGTGCCCCTTTGGGCAAGTCACTTCTTCCAGTGTTGGCTCTCCCACTTTTAAACAAGAGAAAACAAGACCCCCTCTATCTCTTACGGAAGTGTTAGGATGGCCAAGTAACATTGTGCTTTTTGAAATACTGTGTAAAATTAGGTATTTGTTATAATGTCTGTGCAAGAGGCTGACAGCACCACTAGAATTTTAATTTATTATTCCTGAGGCGTTTTTCTTCTTGTCCATCCCTTCCTTTCCCCCTAGGTCACTGTCCCATCTTTTATTCTCTAGACTGTGCCACAGTCTCAGACCTTCCTGTGTCCTGCTTTGCAGTGTGGTGGGAGGCTACACAGATTGTGGGAAACGTGGGCTTTGGAGTTGCACAAACTTGGAAGCCCCATCCCCTGCCTCTTGTAAGCTGTGTGGCATGTGATTAAATGTCTCTGGAGCTCAGATTCGATACCTGGTGCTCTAAGGACTAATAATCTTCTCAAATATAGTAGGAAGCATTCAGTTATGTCCTGTATCTTAGGAAATAAAAGTTGCCTTCCCCCAACCAGCCTGTGGATATTCAGTTGTCATGTATGAAGCTCAAGGCCCCTCTCAAGTCCACCAGTTCCTCGTTCAACAGACAAGCAAGGGATGGGATCATAATCTCCCCTTTTAAAAAGGGTTTAAATGGATTTTAATCATTGGATGAGAAAGTGTCTCTTCTTAAAAATGTTTTTCTAGAGCTATTAAAAAAGCTTATACCTACATTGTTGTTTAAAAAAAATGCTCTTTTGGATTATATAAGAAGAGAGGTGCCAGGACCTCAGATAAGGCTGGGTAGAGAGATGGGATAAGCTTGATACATCAAGATGTGACATACGCTTAGTGTGGACTCAGATGTGGCTTCTCTGTCTCCTGAGGCATCAGCAGCGGCATCCAGACAGCTCCCTTCCCCTTCTCATCCTCTTCCTCTTTCTTCTTATTGGGATGAAATATAAATAACATAAAATTAGTCACTTTGAAGTGAATCATTCCTTGGCATTTAGCACATTCATATTGTCATGCAACCCACCTCTAACTACTTCCAAAGCATTTTCATGACCTCCACAGGGAACCCCATACCTATTAGCAGTTAGGTCCCATTAACCCTTCCTTCTAGCTCTTATAGGTATTAACCCATTCTTGATGTTTCATACATATGGAATTATAAATATGTGGTCTTTGTGTCTAGTGTCTTTCAGTTGACATATGTCTTCATGGTGGATCTATGTTGCAGCCTGTATCAGCCTTTTTATGACTCAGTGATATTCCATATGTATTTCTAGCAACTGGCCTCTCTCTCCATTTATTGATGGACATGTGATTCCCATTTTCTTTTTAAGGAATATAAATCAAATGACAGAGCTTCTCTTGTCAAAATTCCCATATAATTCAAAGTCTTGCCAATAGCCCAAAATGTTCTGTGTGATCTGGTTTGTGTATCCTCTCTCTTGTTCCTACTCCCCTCCATCAAGTCCAGCCACCCAGGCTGTGCTGAACAGGCACTTTTTGAGGCTCTTACATTGACTCTTTCTTTGGACTGAAACATGGATCATCATAGTTAGTCCTTTACTTCATTCAAGCTATTGCTTAAATGTTATATTGAGGGTTGCTATGATCATCCATTTCCTATTTTCATACCCATCTCAGTACCTCCATCCCTGGGAAAAATTTCAGAATGAAGATGGAGTCAAATGCTAACAAAAATAAATAAGTGAAAGAATCCGGGGGGTTATGAAGGAGAGGCTCTAATACTCATATGCTTGGTAACAAGAACTGTCTCAAAAGACTTTGTTAGACCACATCCTTGTGCAAAGACCACGACAATCTCACGCAGAAAACACTTCCCTGAGGACATCTGCCCAGCAACTGTCTGTATTCACAAAGTTCAACTGAAGTGATTACATCATTACTAGATATGAGCTGGTTTGGGACTGACAGGACTCAGACTGGGGGCGTGCAGTCAAAGTCTCTGTGGATTAAAAGACATATTATGACTTCAGAGACATTAAAATGAAGGGGAAAAGTATTTCATTAGAGTCAATTAAATGGATTAGTAATTGAGGAATCTCTTTGTTGTTGTTTTCTCCCATAGGAGGAAAACAGATAAGAAGTTGTGTTGCCTGGAAACACGCTGTGCTGTGCGAGTTGGTGCACTCATTTCACTTATTGGACAAGCTGGGCCATCAGGGACTTTGTAGCTTGTGTTCTTTTGGGTGAGACAGAACTTAATTTTTAAAGGGAATGATTGCCATGCTGGTATTTGGGAATTGGAGCACTCACTATGATTTTGGGCAGATCAATTGTTTGCGTTTTCACTGTACATTATGCAGGATTGGCAGCCCTAAAATATCCACTTGATGGTCCTTGTCTGCCCTCTGGAAGTAAGTGAGAGTAATTACATCCTCACACCTACATACTCTGAAATATTGGACTGTGGATCACTTCTCACTTTCTTCAACCAAAGCTTCCCACAGCTTCTGAAACCTTGTGATGGACTTCAACATTGTTCTAAGTATTACACATGCATTTATTACTTATCGCCTGACATAATAATGCAATTGCCACGGTTTACAGAGTGCTTCTATGGCTGTCATTGAGGATATTTATGTTTGTATTACTGCAATTTCTGTTTGTTTATCAAAATTACCAGAAGTAGGTATATTTATTGTCCCATTTTAATAAGAGCAAAAACTAAAGCTTAGAGAGGATTAGTAATTTCCTCAAGGCCACACAGCTAGTGAGTGGTAGATCAGTTTCAAAGTCACATCTTCTTGTAATTAACAATAATTTTTAGACATTTCTGTACAAGAAACCTGTGAAAGTGGCATAGTAAACATATACCCCAACAAGCAAAGGACTTCTTTTAAATTGTTGCCACAAGGATACTATGTACAAGTTCCACTTGGGGACTCCCTGTTGAAATGGCCTTCAGGCCCCGTGTGCTGAGTATCCTTTGTAGTATGCACTGTTTATCCTTTGAGGTCAAGTTGACTGTTAAAGGAGCCTAATGAGGCAGGTCTGCTGGCCCAGATGATGACTATGATCCACAGAGTGAGTTTTCAGTCATAGAACATGGTGACAAATCAAAGCACAGGCATTCTTGGAATATGTATGATCTTTGAATGACGATGATTTGAGGTACACAGTCATTTGGGAAAATGAAATTCCAGAGGTTAAAAAATAGCCAGAACCCACATCATTTTCATTTATTAATACTAGCAATTCAAATTGCACAGAAGTTTTGTTGGGACGCACCAGGGATCCCACTTGGCCTTCAAGGCAGAATGTGGCTCCTGGAGGTGTTTTGTGTGGTCCTTTGATTGTACCACACAGATGTCAGTAGGCTATGCAGTTGGCAGATTTTGGGGTTGGTGACAACACAGGCAGTTTAACCACAAGCGTCCTACATTAAGTCTGGCAGAGCTTTCACGTTCATCCCACACCCCCCACAGACATGTAAGCGTTGGATTCCTGGAGTTCACACTTTTTTTTTCCCAAGAGAACCTTGAATACTAGCACTCCTGTTCTCAAAAACCCCCAGCCACTTCATGTTCCACCCTTTCAGCCTCTCCCAGTCAAAAATACTTCTTCCTTCTGAATTTTTATAAAATTTCAGTGAATCTCACATGGCATTTCCATCCTGCTGTCTGTACTGTTATTCTTTGTGAATAGTCTTTATGTCATTTAATAAACTAAAGTACGCCTTGCAGTCTTCAAAGGGATCCTCTCACTTTAGAAATGATAGAAAATACTCATAAGGTTTTAGATTGATCACCTCTTCTTTCTTTCTCCTGCTCCTTTGCCAGCCTGCTTGCCTTGATTTAGAATTTAGTCTTGGGTTCTGATGCTTACTATTGACTCTGCCTGGTTTTGATGAATCTCTTACCACCAGATTCCCAGTGTTGATGTGCCCTCTTGCTCTATTAACTCTATTCTTGGTAGGACTTGGTGACCTACTTCTGCTTTTTCAGTATATGACCCTGGGCTGTGCCCATCTCTTATATTGGGGTTGCTATCCAAAATGAACCTTACTTGTCACTACAGGAAGAACTGGGACAGAATTGAGGATGGGGGTTCACAGAGCAGCCTCCTGTGAGCCCCTTAGTACTTAGAACTTTAGAACTGTTCTTTGTATAGGCAGGTCCTTATGAAAAATTTGTGCATGGAATAAATTTTTTTTTAAAAAGCAGTTATGATAGCACCTCATGATGAGGAAAATGTGCTTTTATACTTAAGATGAGGCACTATGGTAGATATAGAGGATACAAAGATGAAAAGATGGTTTCTGCTCTAGTTTGGACCTGGAATGTCCCCTAAAGTCTCATGTGTTGCAGACCTGGTCCTAAGTTGGGTGCACCATTGGGAAGCGGTGGGAACTTTAGGTGGAAGAGATGGATCACTGGGAGAATGGCTTTGAAGGGTATCTTGTCCCCAGCTCTCCGATCTCTCCCCTGCCTGCTCCCAGTCTCCCTCCCTTTCTCTCCCCCTGCCTGTCTCTCTCTGCTTCATGGCTGTCGTGGGGTGAGCAGCCTCCTCTGCCACACACTCCTACCACCATCATAAGTTCTACAACTTAATAGGTGCTCTATCATCTTTATCTAAGTTCATTACTCAGACTTTTCCTCCAACTGCATGTCCAGTAAAGTGAGACTCCCTGGAAGAAAGGGACTGTGTTAGTGGGTTGCCTGCCTTGACTGATGCCCAAAGCAATGGAGTCAGCTGACCTTGAACTGAAACTTCTGAAACCATGATGCAAAATAAATCTTTCCTCCTTCAAGTTGTTTTCTCAGGTCTTTTGTCATGGTGATGGAAAGCTAACTAACACAGTCCCTTTCTTCAAGGGAGTCTCACTTTACTGGACATGCAGATGGAGGAAAAGTCTATGATAAACTTGGATAAAGATTAAGTTGTAGACCTTATCCCAAATCCAGATCCAAAGAAATCTTGAAAATGTTAGGGGAGTTACAATTTTCAGGGTAGGAAGAGTCTTGCTACTAGGAGCAGGTTGATGATTTCTGGGTGAGAGGTTTAGCCAGCTGAAGGATTTTTAAGAGGTGGACATAAAACACACTTGGGGTCATGAGCAAGCTTCACAGGACTGCTCTTTCTATCCACTGGTTAAATTTTCAGGGTTTCTGGTTTAAGAAGATTTGCCTATGAGGATTAAAACAAATAATCACACAGCCTCTTGGAGCTCATGCTTTCTTATTGAAATGGCATGACTTTTGAAATAATGCAATCTGTTGTGATACACATCTGAAGTTCTGAATTTTATTTTGGAAATGGGGGCCAGATCTTGCTGGTAAATGAACTTTTACATAACACTACAGATGGTGCGGTCAACCTTTTTTGATTATGAAGCAAAATTAAGTGATTGTCCTGTATATAAATTGTAAGTCATCACTCACGGCATTGCATTGAGTAGATGGCTTTAAGTAGGTCATCCTCTAATCTAACCAACACGATGCTGTGGCTGCTGTGAGTGGGGAGAGAGCTGTGGGCGAGTTGCATGCTGAGGTCCAGGCTGCTGTGTGCCACTCTGTCTCTTGCTATTGCCAAGCACAAGCCATCTCAATCCTCCTTCACCCAACCTTGTCACTCAAGGGAGTTGCTGTCCCAAGCTGTCGACACTTTCTATGTCAAGGCAGCCTGGCTCAAAGCAACAATTCCAGTAAGTATTAGGTTCTGCTTGAGGGGAGGACCTAAAGGACACTGTAATCCTGGATACAACTGATTTTGCTTTATTTTATTGTAGGAAGACCGCATTAAAAAATATGATTATTCAAAAAGAAAACAAAAAAGCTATTTATGGTAAGATGGGAAGTTCATTTTCAGGTTCTACTAGTTCAATGCTTTTGCCCTGTGTTTTGATTTTTTCCAGAGTCATTAAGTAATAATCTGGGGGGGGGGATGTTTCAGTGACATTAAAAAGAAAAACTGACCCAAACTATGCATACCTTATAAATTATGAACTTCTTGTATCTTATTTGTAGAAAAACTGCAGATTCCAGGAACAGCTTCTGTCCTTCTTCATGGAAGATGTTTTTGGTGGACTCCAATTACAAATTTGCAAGGAAATAGACTTTGTGGAAGACTTTCATAGTCTTCGGCAGAAATTGAGCCGCTGTGTAAGTATGCCTGGCAAATGTGGTGAGTTTGAACCTAGAAAACTACCTAAAAACAGCATGTGGGAAGCTGTCTCCATACCAGCAGGTGAGGAAAAAGGACTTTCTGATTGTTGGCTTGGAGTCCAAAATGAGAGTCCATCACCAAGGAAATAGCATCAAAGAACCATGCACAGCTCATGACGGCACTAATTATTAATTCTTAAAGAACAGCACATAGGGCATGTTGAAAAGAGCTGAAATAACGTGGAATGGTCCTCAAGTAAATATTTACCTTGTAATCATTCCCTTGTTATACAATGCCCAAGTAATTTCGTCTTTCAGTTGACAAGTATTTCTTGAGCACCAATTTGGTGACAAGCACTAAGTCTAGGCTGCTTTCTCTCTTCTGTCTTTTCTCCAACTCTCCATCTTCCTCTTTTTCTCTCTCCATGTCTCTTTGTACCATGATGATGGGAGCTTTTAGATTGCTTTTTTTCTTAATTATCTATGCTTTTAAAAATTTTTTATTAGTTATTGATGGACCTTTATTTATTTATTTGTTTATATGTGGTGAAAGTCAAACCCAGTGCCTCACACATGCTAAGCAAGCTCTCTACCACTGAGTCACAACCCCAGTCCAAATATCTATGTTTTAATTGTTGTATGTATGCTTTTTTTTTGGTACCATGGACTGAACCTAGGGGCGCTTAACCAGTGAGCACACTCCCAGCCCTTTTTGTTTTAAATTTTGAGACAGGGTCTCACTAAGTTGCTTAGAGTCTCCCTAAGTTGCTAAGGCTGGTTTTGAACTTGCAATCCTCCTGCCTCAGCCGCCGGAGCTGCTGGGATTATAGGTGAGCACCATTGTGCCAGGCAATGTATGTTTTTTAAAAAAATAGTCACAGTCAAAATCTAAAAAGAAGGAGTGTGTCTTCTTTCATACTTGGATTATTCAAAGCTTCAGAATGGTTCACAGTAAGCAATAGGAAATTAACAAGGCAAAAGTGACTGAATTCCTACAGAAACCCACCCATGTTAACAAAATATCAGTGTTGGCTGGGGGAGTCAGGATCTTTGCAGTGTTAGTTGAATTTCTCCTGTGGGGAGTACAGGAAGGTTTTTACTTCTGAGAGGGAGGATGTCCTTAACCAATGGCTCTCAAGCAGAAGGCCAAGTTATTTAGGTATTTTGAGTGTGAACTGATCAATTAGGTTAAAAAATTTCAACACATTTATGTTCTCTTTTTCCTCTTTTGGTTTTGTGTTTATGTCCTTGGGACTTGGACTGAATAGTTTTTTTTATAAACTCTTATATTCCACTAAAATAACAACAAAGATAAAAAAGAAACAAACAACAACAAAAACAAACAACAACAACAACAAAAACAAACTACAACAACAAAACACAAAAACTACAACCTGGTATCTTTCTGTAGAACCCAGAGAAAGTGTTCTGGGTCAGTCCTCATCCCTGAAATAATGGAAAGGTGGTCACTTATCTTATGTTTATTCTGTATTTAACCTATAAGTTCATCTTATTAAGGCAGTGAATAATTAAAAATAGTCTCTTAGTCTCTTACATGAAAAGTTATGTAATTTTACATTTCTTTACCACCAGCTGATTATATTGTTATCACTCCCAGTTAGAGTCTTATGCCAACAAAGATGTGAAGAGGAGGAGAATAAGGGAAATAATGAGGCCCATAGCAGACACTATAGGCCAGGGTGGAGTCACCCAAAAGGACAAGAAAGTCTTTCCCATTGTAGTACCTGTAAACCTGAGCATCCTTTTTTTTTTTTTTTTTTTTTAAATGGGATTAATACCAAAGTACTTTTGGATTCTCCTTTTGTTAGTCTCCTCTGTGGGTGCTCTCCAGGGCACTACCCAGGAGATTTAATTTTCCTTATTCTAAGTGCAAAGCACTACAGGAATCCTTGCCTGATACTGGACATGTATGTGGTCATACGGAACTGGCCAATCTATTTTGTCATTGGTTTGATTTCATTGGCTCAAATAACTAAACACATAATGATAGCCATAACCCAAACCAAGCAATATTCTGGATGAAAATTCTGAAAACTTGAATCTGTCTAGCAATTCTGGTTTTCCCTGATTTGTTTTTGAGCAGTTTTTCCTCCAAAGGGACTTCAACCTGTTACTAGAGATGCTGCTTTCAGATTCAACGATGCACCGCAGGGTGGAGCTGTGTCACCTATTAGCGGCTGGCTCCCCCTTGTGGTCGAATTCGAATACAGCATCGCATCAACCTTCCCAAGTGCCATGGGACTCTGGTTTTCCTTGTTCTCCTGCCTCTTACCAAATTTTAAGGGGCAAACATTTGAGATTTCCTTTAACAATTTTGAAATGTATGAGACATTATCATTTGCTATATTAATATTACCGTGCAATATATCTCAAAGTAAAAAACGATAACCATGTATTTCTCCTGTCAACTTGAGCCTCACACTCTTGCGTCACGACCCTTTCCCTTCCAACACCCCTTCAGTCTCTGAATTACCATTCTATTCTCTGCTATTTTGAGTTCGATTATTTTATATGTCACATCTGAGTGAAAACTTGTGTTTTAGTCTTTCTGTGTCTGGCTTAATTCACTTTGCATAATGTTCTCCAATTTCATCCATGTTGTCACAAAAGACAAACATTATTTTTAAGTTTGGATAGTATCCTATGGTGTGTATATACACTACATTTTCTTGATGCATTCATCTATGGATGAACACTATGTGTTACAATGAATATAAGACTGCAAACATCTGTTAGACATATTATTTTGAAATTTTGGGGTATCCTGAATTTTGGGGGTATCCAGAATTTTTGGGGGTAATCCCATGGGATTATATGATGATTTATTTTTAGTTTTTTGAGGAACTCCCATACAGTTTTTCATATTGGCTGTACTAATTTACATTCCTATTAACAATGTAAAAGCATTTTCTTTCCTCTACATTCTTGCCAACACTTGTTATCTTTTGTCTTTTTGCTAATGGCCATTCTGACACACATGCATTGTGGTTTTGATTTGCACTTTTCTAATGGTTAGTGATGTTGAGCATTTTATCAATATACAATATTTTGAGAAATATCTGTTCAAGTCTCTTGCCCATTTTAAATCAGATTATTTGTTTTCTTTCTATAAAGTTGTTTGTGACCCTTTTATATTTTGCCCTAAGGATATTAATGCCTTATAGGATATATGGATTGCAAAAAAATAAGATATATGGATTGCAAAAAAATAAGATATATGGATTGCAAAAAAATAAGATATATGGATTGCAAATATTTTCTCCAGTTCATAGGTTGTCTCTCCTCTGTTGTATCCTTTGTTGTACAGAAGATTTTATTTTGATGTAATTCCATTTGCTTTTTTTTTTTCGCATGTGCTTTTGGGGTTTATTCTTCTGCATATGGATATCCAGTTTTCCCAATACCATGAAGACTATCCTGTTCCTTTTTTTTTTTTTTTAGTGGTGGTGCTGGGGATTGAACTCAAGGCCTTGTGCATGCAAGGAAAGCACTCTACCAACTGAGCTATAACCCCAGCCCACTGTCCTGTTTCTAATGCATGTGCTTTGCACCTTTGTTGGAAATTGCTTGACTACATGCTTGGATTCATTACTAGCCTTTCTATTCTGTCGATTGGTTGATGAGTCTGTTTTTAAGCTAATGCCAGGCTGTTTTAATTACTATTGCTTTTGTAGTGTAGTTTGAAATCAGATAGTGTTGTCACTCATTACTATTTGACAAAAGCAAAGAAATGAATCATTGCCATCTTTTGAGATGTTATGGATATATTTGAGATGTTATGGTTATATTTGGTGGGTAGTCATCAACTGAGTGGGACTACATTTTTTTTTCCTTTCTTTCCTTCACTTTTTTCTTTTTATTTCCTTCCTTCCTCTAATCCTTTTGCCTCCCTAAACATATTTCAAAAATGTTACATGTGCCTGTTCCAGGACATTTTGTCAAATGGCCAAGTTGTAAAGTGACCTTGTTGAATTTACTTTCATTTTCTTATTTACTTTTAGTTGACCAGCTCTAATGCTGTCTTCATAAGAAAGAAGTTCTTCATTTTGAGGGCTTCTCTGTCTCCATTGCAAGTTTGGAATTAGAGATGGAATAGCAGAGAGAAGGGAGACAAGGGGACAAAAAAGTCATAAGAACTGAATGTTTCTGAGCATGAACATTTTTATGAATAATATTTAACATTGATATACATATATGTGTGTATATATGTACATATATGATGAATTCTCCATAGTCAATACATTTATGTCCTAATTTTGATATTAGAATGATAATGTTAATTGTAACAAATATGCCCCCATAGTTTGGTGACTTCACCTGTTCAGCCTTTATTTCATAGGAGCCCACTCAAGTAGAAGTACAGTCAGGGCTTTCTGGATGGAATCACTTTCCTCTACATTATGAGTCAGGGATGTAGGCTTCTTCCAGATTATGGCTGTGCCATTACCGAACTGTCTGCATTTAGTGTGTGGCAGGCTGATAGGAGCAGGAAGAAGCCTTATCCATTTCAGATAAGCTTTGCTTCCAAAATGATAGGTATCATCCTGATCCAATTCCATTGGTAAGAACTAGTCACATGGCCATAAATAATTGCAAAGATTCCTGAGAAATGTTGTCTCATATATGGCGAGAAAGAAGAGAAGAAAATTTTGATTCATAGGTAGTAGTCTCTGCTAATTATTCAAGAATTGTTCATTCATATTTACAACCAGGGCTACTCATATAGCGGATCTTTTTGCAAATTAGAAAAAGAATGTTGACTTTTTGTTGACAATCCCACTCTAGTCTGTGGCCACTATTCTAACTTTTAGTTACTTACCATATAAGAAAGGTAGGTTAATATTTAATTCTCTGTTTACCAGTTTTTGAGATAAAGGATTAGTTTTTCTAATATTCTCCTATGATGTCTAACAAATTGTTACTTTTGTTGTCATTTTGTCTGTTTCATTATTAACTCATGGTTTAATTTAAAAAAC